TGGCATTGGCTCTTGCAACTTTATACTACTATATATTGTGTATAATATATTAAAAAAATATAAGCAATCACGCCTATCACTCAGAGGGGTAGGCTGAGACAACGAACTTCCATTTAGCACGATCCTTTTTCGCCAATTTTACATCCATATGTCTACGCATACGTGCTCGTTGGTCAAGGGTACTCTTAATCTAATATATCGCCAAATTGGTTGATAAACTTTCGTCTGGGGCGTCCCTTCCCGACTCTGCCGTTCACTTCTGCAACATATATTTGCTTTGTCCACTCTGTCCCTCTTTGCATGACCAAACCACCGAAACATTCCTTTCTTAATTCTGGTCACGACATTGCAAACCATACTTTTCTCTCACCCCTTCTGCCCTAACATACTCCTTAATCACCGTATTTGTACAGCATTTATTCTACTCTTGTGTTTCTTCTTATTTTACTTATATATTTTATTAAATAATAAATAATAATCAATAGATAAATAGAGATTGCTGTTGTGCTTTGTAGCATTCCTTGTGGGAGGCCTATCTTCAGCAATGAACTTGTCAAAGGCTATGATGATGATAATAATGATGATGAAGACAACGCATTTAGAGAATCTTGAGACATCTTATGCTCTGACAGAATATCAGCGCTACGGTAACTCTGTTACTGTAGCTGCATACTGAGTCGGTGGAGTTTATGTTTCTGAAATCCATTTTCAGACATTTTGTTTCTTACAAGTATTTTTGTTAAAGTAATGTTTTGTAAAATTAAGTTACAACAATGAATAAATATGTTCTTTTTTGCTTATACTTGTTTCACAATTGCTATTTTCAATTTTATTTATTCATTCCTTGTCACCAAGTGACCACCATCGTAAGTACGAGTATAAAGTCATTTCCTTTATTCTTTCTTTCAAAAAATTTATATTTGACCGTCCTTAAAATTTTGCCGCCCTGAGCTATAGCTCAATTAGCCCTTACGTGATTACACTTCTGAGTAAGATTAGTGCAAAAACACAAGCTCTGTGCTAATTACGCTTGGTGACATGGTAATAAGCTAATGAGTGTGTCACCGTATCAGTTGCTATCGCCGCAGTGAAATCGATATCAACTTTTACGGTTTTCACGTTATTATTAGTTCATTGACATTTAATTTGTTAACGCGTGCTGGCATTTGTAATCGCACATACATTTTGAATGACCAGCGACGCGCCCCGGTTTCGCTTGGATAGGATCTGTTAATGTGGCGTTATTTAGATTTAATTTAATTTGGAATTTTAAAAAAATTTAATGATTATTTTTTTAAACTAAAACCGTCCTTTTTTCGGATAGATTATAGCCTAGATCCATCCTGGTACTCTTTATCTGTTGGTAAAGTTACATCATAATCGGTTTAGCTGTTCCAAAAATTAGCCAGGGCACACAAACAGACAGACAGACGGGTATTTTAGTAAAAATGGTTATTTATGTCTTAATGGCATGCAAACCACATGAGGTTATTAGAAGCCAGTTATTCTAATATAACAGACAGTCACTTGAATTTTATTTATATATATACATGTATTGATTATCAGTTTTAGAAAATAAAAATAGAAATTTACTTATCAGAAAATTTACTTTTAGTCCCGGTTTACATTTTGAGAAGTGACAAGTGCGTATTTATTCCCACTTATCACTTACTATCCTTTCATTTGTCTCCACTCCACTCTGTCACTTCTCAAAATGTAAACCGGGCCCTATCGTTACTGTCAATCAAAGTCCACTGCTGGGCATAGGCCTCCCTCATAGATTGCTTTATAAAAAGGCTATTTGCCAAAGTTGGCACGTTTCGCAAGCGGATTGGCAACCGCAGTTTTTATTTTTAGGTTGTTATTTTGAAGGTGATCCTGCCCGTCTTCTGGTCTATTTCCCTCTGTCGCCTCTTACGAGACCCACGCGGCAATATGGGGGTAGTGGATATACTTTGATTATAGTTTATTTTAGCCTACTTTGGAAGTATAAAGGTAAAAAAGCCAGTATAATCATGAGATCTTTATCATCATCATCATCATTATTACAACCCATCACCCCAAAAAACGCCCCATAAAACTGATCCTGAACCTATGCATGTACCGACTTCCTGTATGTTTTACCAGGTCTTCAGTCCATCTAGTTGAGGGTCGTCCTACACTTCGCCTAACGGTACAAGTCTGCCACTCTATAACCTTACTTACCTTGCTTACTTTTATCTAATCCCTGCAATTCAGTGGAAAAATCTAGAATTCGAAATGCTTCTAGACATAAACACAATGACATTAGGTGGTACGATAATCTTTGTAATTACAACAAATTAAAACTCTAGCAATTAAACTGTCGTTTACAAAATTACACTGCGCACCGTATGACTGTGTACATACCGTTCAATTAAAATTGTTTACTCTGCAAAGAACAAAAAATCTGTGATCCATTCTTGGTACACGTTTTTACAACAAAATTCTTGAAAATATAGAGTGTCCTCCGCCAAGCTTAAAAATTTATTAAACAGAGATTGTATAAAAAGGGTTATTATAATATTAAGGAATTTTTGGATGATAATAATGATGATAATAACCTCTGGAAATGAGGTGTTGATTATGAGTTAGTTGTGTAACATAATATATGATTGTAAACAGTACTATTTTTTTTTTCAAAAGAAAATATCCCGCCAAATTTCTCGCTGGTTCTTCCCACAACAGAGGTATTTCTCAAATCTGTGGTAAATTATACACAAGGGTGACTTTCAGTAAGTATTATCTATATCCTACTCGCGATCCACCTCGGCTTCGCACGGGTGATCACGGTTTCTGGATCTCGACAACAGCGGCCCCTACCGGGTCCAATAATCTAAACCATCCTTGGACTCATTCCAACGCACACAAACAATTTACATCTATCCTCAATTACGAATCAAAATGCAGATGCGTTGTCACCCCTGTGAACTAAGATGGAGTGCCTCGTTTCCAGTAGAAACGCTCTCCGGTTCTTTACACTCAACATACGAAACATAGCAGCATAGAGCTGCTATTATGTAGATTATAAAAATATGATTTCGTTGTATTGACGCGACACGGTGCGAAATTTGCGACATTTGCTACTGGATGGATATGTTTGTACTTAGCGACTTAATGGAAACCGTCTTGTTTTGTTTTATTTTGTGTTATAAGAAACGTAGGAGCTGAAAGTCATCAATCTTTTGCGGTGAACGAACCGTCCACGTCAAATTGTTTGTTTTTTTTTAGTTTTAATAACACGTCTCTTTCGTCGGTGTAATTTGGTGCTCTCCCAGGTAAATTATTAAAAAGTTTTTACTTAAATATGTTTTTGGTTTTTATAAGCTTGGAGACCCACTGATGATAATGCGATTGTGTTACTCTGGTGGGAATCGCGATTGTCTTCGTGTTCAAGTTTTCCGTTTAGTTACTTTGTATTATGTGATGTATCGATATAATTTACTAGCGATACGTTCTGTTTTGGCACGGGTTCTTTTTCTGGTATTCTGGATCTCAACAGCAACGCAATCCCCCGGGTCTAACTGTGAATCTGAACCATTCAGGGAATCAAACAAACACACAAAAATAATCATCGAAATCGGTCAAGAATTTTCGAGTTTTTTCGAGACTAACAACGCACGGCAATTGATTTTTATAGAAATAAATTTAAAAGTTAAAGTCAAAACCTATATACGTCCCACTGCTGGGCACAGGCCTCCGCTCATTTCTGAGAGGGTTTTAGGGCAAGTAATAGTCCGCCACGCTGCCCCAGTGCGTGTTGGCGAACTCCACATGCCTTCGAAATATTTTCAAATAGATTTGTATTTATGTAAATGTAATATTTGTATAGTTATTATTATTCTGTAAAATTTATATACTTACACGATTAATTTTGCGTACTTATCAAATATCATTTCCTTTTATTATTTTTCTTTGTTGTTACACCTACGTCAAATTCTCACCACTCCATAGTTTTTACTGGTAGAGGAAATCCTAAAGTATTGTCCTTTGTGTTTTTTTTTGTAATAGGTACAGATGCAATACAGAATAAATAAAGATCGATTATAAGCAGATGGGTCTTTACTCATCTCACCTTAGTTTACGAAATATTATAACAATCAAAAATATAATGCATTTGCTGAGTGATTACTATAGTTAGACGATTTCCAGAACATTAGAGTAACTCTTAGTATTATATTTTTCGAATCTTTTCATTCAAGGCAAACACAGAGACACCTACTCGTTTTAAACTCGCGTAGATTATTCGATAAGATCGGTGGGCGGCTTGATCGGCCCCTTCGAATTCGTTATTTATAAAACAAACTTCTAGAATCGTATTTTTGTATCTTTAATTAAAAAGCTCTATCGTCAAAACAGTAATTAAAAAATAAACGACTGCTTAAAAACGTTTTCTGAAGAGAAAAACATTTTGTAGTTTATGTCACTCTTACAATTAATAATTTGACATATGCGGTAATAACAACACCGCATATGTCAAATCCATCAAGTTGTATAGGCTACAGAGCATGCCAAAGAAATATACATACATACAAACATATTTTATCACACATGGAGTCACGCTGCAGCTATATTATGATTGTAGCACGAATAGGTCGGTTTAACTGGCGAAAGACCATACTCTCACATACTACCAGCGTGAAATAATAGCTCAATACTGATGTGTTTCGTATGATGAGTGGAGAGACCCGGAGATCCTTTTTACTGGGTTCAAAGCATTCTTTCCTAGTATTCGGGGGTGACCACGCAAGTGCATTTTGATCCCTAATCGGGGATAGAATCACTCACCATCAGATAGGCTGTGTGCTCGTTTGTCAACCATATTCTATAAAAAAGATGCCGATACGATTCTTGAGCCTTCGATTGGAAAGCTGATAAGACCTATATCTATGTGGGAGGCCAATGTGCAGCAGTGGACGTGATGGACAAGCTGATCTGTAAGGACGTTTGTCAAAATAATAAAAAATATTCTTATGACCAAGATGGAATATCTAGTTATTAATAGGAGCGTCTCACACGTACCACAACCTCACCACAACCACACCACAACCACATCACAACCACATCATAACCACACCACAACCACACCACAACCACACCACAACCACACCACAACCACACCACAACCACACCACAACCACACCACAACCTCACCACAACCACACCACAACCACACCACAACCACACCACACCCACACCACAACCACACCACAACCACACCACAACCACACCACAACCATATCACAACCACATCACAACCACACCACAACCACATCACAAACACACCACAACCACCACAACCACACCACAACCACATCACAACCACATCACAACCACACCACAACCACATCACAACCACACCACAACCACATCACAACCACACCACAACCACACCACAACTACACCACAACCACACCACAACCACACCACAACCACACCACAACCACACCACAACCACTTCACAATCACATCACAACCACACCACAACCACACCACAACCACATCACAACCACATCACAACCACATCACAACCACACCACAATCACATCACAACCACACCACAACCACATCATAACCACATCACAACCACACCACAATTACATCACAACCACACCACAACCACACCTCAACCACATCACAACCACATCACAACCACACCACAACCACATCACAACCACACCACAACCACATCATAACCACATCACAACCACACCACAATTACATCACAACCACACCACAACCACATCACAACCACACCACAACCACATCACAACCACACCACAACCACACCACAACCACAACACGTGGGCGGGTGCATTTTGTATTGGAAATGAATAGTATAATTTACATGTACATCACATGTACACATTTTGCAGTCATTATCAACTGCATGAGTGATTCCGACCGCAACACAACCACTACGGAACCACGACGCAACCACTACGGGTTCCGCAGCGACATTATTCACACGGTGACTACATTTTGTCGCTGCGATGTGGTGTGGTTGTGGTATGTGTGGGTCGACCCATAAAAAGAATCTTTCCTTCTCAACACTCAATATAATATTTTACTGTTACACAATTACAGCCTATTAAAGACCACTGTTGAACATAGGCCTCCCCCATAATTGCCTCACGGGTTGACAACCGCATTTTTTATTCTTTAGTTGTTATAAAGAAGACGCTCCTGCTCATCTTCTCATTTGTTTCCCTCTGTCGCGTCTTACGACACCCACGGGATGATAGGGGGTGGAACTACACGATATGTAGTAAAGTAAAGTAAAGTTACAGCCTATATACGTCCCACTGCTGGGCACAGACCTCCCCTCATTTCTGAGAGGGTTTTAGGGCAAGGAAGTGTCAGCCGCGCTGCCCCAGTGCGTGTTGGCGAACTTCACATGTCTTTGAAATATTTTTTTTCTTATTCCTCCGACGTGCAGGTTTCCTCACGATGTTTTCCTTCACCGCCGAGCACGTGGTAAATCAGCACTTAAAATTGCAATTAACAATTTCATTGGTGCCGGCGGGGATCGAACCCGGTTTGCTCGCGTACTGTGAAATTTACAGCGAGCGCTACGAGGGCGGCACTGAAAATTTCGGGAATCAAGGAAGTGACACAACATTACTATTTAAAAATGTATTTATTGCTTTTCGAAGTATTCTTCTCGAAATTTGACACATTTTTCCACACGATAGAACCAATCATTGAAGCAACCATTCCATTCGGAAGTTGAGGTCTCCAAAATGGCCGTTTTGTAGGCGTCCACAGCTTCTTCAGGTGATGAAAATCTCTGTCCACACAAATTATTCTTTATTTTAGGGAAAGTATAGAAATCATTAGGGCTTAGGTCGGGGCTGTACGGCAAATGGTCTAATAATTCTATGTTTTCTTGCTCTAAAAACTCTTTTGTTCTGAGTGCGGTGTGAGAACTCGCATTGTCGTGATGGAGGATGATGCGGTGGTTGCAGTTCTCTTTACGGAGTTCAGAAACGACCTGTGGCAAACAAATGCTAGCATACTATTCCGCATTAACCGTTCTTTGTCCCTCAAGAGGAATAGTCGTAACATGGCCGGTTTTGGAGACAAACGTGGCCACCATTTTTTTTGCAACACTCCGTGAACGAACAATTTTTGTTGGCTTTCTCGAACACTCATTTTCGAACACCCAAACTCGTGACTGGTTTTTTGTTTCGGGTTCGTACGCGTATATCCAGGATTCGTCACCTGATACGATGTTGTATACAGCATTTGAGGGTCCTGCGTGGAATCTTTCGAGTTCTGACGCACCAAGTAACGCGAGCCGCTTTTTGCTTTTCACAGAGTGAATGCGGTATCCATCGGGAAAACTACTTTTTTACACCTAATTTTTCTTGCAAGATTATTTGTATTTGACTCATGCCAATTTCTAAAGTTGCCTAAATTTCGCGGTATGTCAAATGTCGATCTTCCTCAATCAGCTTACGCACAGCATCATCGTTTTCTTGGGTAACTGCAGTTTTGGACGATCTTGACGGGGATCATCACTGAGCTTGACTCGTCCACGTTGAAATTCAGCAAACCAGCGATAAAATGTGGTTTTGGATGGCGCTTTATTACCAAATGCAGAAATCATCCAGTCAACACACTGTTTTTGTGTTAAATCACTTCGAAAGTCATAATAAATCATCGCTCTTGAATTTTCTCGAGTCAATTCCATTTTCTCAACGACTAAACAAGTTTGACAAAACCTTGTGACAAGACCGATAATCTTTTTTATATAAATAAATGGTATTCGCTTTTTAAAACCAAGGAATTTTCAATTTAAAAGATTTTAATATGACAGGAACAGTGGAAATATTCCATTCCCGATACTTTTAGTGCAGCCTAGTAACCATCTGAGCTATCACGGCTCCACGGTAGTATAGTGGTAAGTATCCCTACCTGTCACGGTAACGTACGTAACGATAAATAATTACAATATTGTTTGTTTAAATGTTATAACATAAATTAAACAAACAAAACATAATAATATAAAGTTTATTGCCTCTAAACTACACGTCGGTTATAACACGCTATTTTTAATATAGTTTTTTCGCCTTGTCAATATTACTTAGGAAGAATACCGCCAAGCTCCAAGCGCCATCATCTCTACACACATATAAATTAAATTGAAATGTTTGTCAGTAATATTCAAATGACATGCTTCTATTAAGCTCAGGGGATTAATTGCATGATTTTAAGACTTAAATAACTATTTTTAAAATGTCTATTCGAGATTATTTTCAAAATGGCTGAAACGATTGTGATGAAGGTTTAATAACGGACATAAAGCAACGCCAGGAGGGATTTAGGTCTAGGCTATATTTTATCCGAAAAACTTGTGAGATTTTGACAATTTTTTAAATAAATGGTCTTTAATTATCTTAAATCTAAATAAGATATATCTATAATAGATCCTATCTAGGCGATGCCAGGGCGGTTCATAGTCGACAAAAAAACGTTTTTTTTTTTAATTTCTTAAACCTGATAATAAATCGTAACGAGCGAACATTAAAACGAAAATATACATGGCGGCAGTCGGCAACGATTACTCGGAACTGGTTTTCCAATAAGATGCTCGTAACGTCAGATGAGCAGCCGAAAAATTGATTATTGCTCTACGGGAACCGGCCCTTACGGTTTAAGACATTTATTTCTCAAAAAGAACACTATTCACTTATCTTACCTTCTTACTTGTAATTAATTGTAAAAACTTTGGTAATTATTTCTTATTATTCGAGGAGAATTACTCACTTGTTCCACAAATTTAATTTAATATCTCGAATATGTTACCAATTTATGGCATGAAGCAATTTTAAGTGCTGATTTACCACCTGCTCCAAGGTGAAGGAAAACATCGTGAGGACATCTGCAGGTCTGAGAAGCAAGAAGCGGTGGACCCTTCCCTAAAACCCTCTCAGTAATAAAAGGAGGCCTGTGCCCAGCACTGGGACGTATATAGGCTGTAATTTTAACTTTAACATGTAGTTCACAGTTATAATTGTACCATTTTCATCTGTTTTCATTCGTGTTTGTAATTTGGCTCTTGCTAATCATAACATAATCGTATAAATAAGAAAAAAAATCGATCATTGTATGAATAGACACTTTCTATTAATTTATTGATAGTAAAGACTATGAAAACTTATATTGGTTAATTAAATAAACAAAACAAAGCAAATATATGTTGCAGAAGTGAATGGAAGAGTCGGAAAGGGACGTCCTGGGCGGAAGTTTGTCGACCAAATTGGCGATATACTAAAAATGGGCCAAATTAAGAGTACCCTTAACCGACGAGCATGTATGCGTACACGTGCTAAATGGAAGTCTGTAGTCTCTGCCTACCCCTCTGGGTGACAGGCGTGAGTGTTTATGTTATGTTAAATAAATCATTATTTGTAATATAGGTAACCAAGGATATGTTCGTACTGTTATATGTACTATTAGCTGTGCCCGCGACTTCGTGCGCATAGTTTTTTTGTAGTAATTTTTATAGTTTCTTATTTGAATCGGATTTTGATCACAATTTCATATGTTTTAATTTTTTTGCGCGGAACTCTAATTCTTTGTCTAATATTAAAGTTACTACTAATAATATAAGCTATTTGCCAGTGGTAGTTCCATAAAAATCAGTCAAGCCATTTTAGAGATTAGCCAGAACAACCAGTCAGACAGGCAGACAAACATTTTAAAAATGGTTTTTTGTTATAAGTACCGTAATATATACTTTCATACGTAGTAAAAAGCTGTTATTTTGACATTACAAACAGAGCGACTCGTTAAGAATAAAATAACAAATAATTAATTAACTCCAGTTGCGCATTGGAGCTGACACGCGCCATTTTTTTTTTAATTAAATTGGTTGTACTTCAGGAATAGACACATTTAAATTTGGAGAATAAATTACATTCTTAATTGTGACAAAATAGGAGATTAATTTTTTATGTAACTATCTAGACGATATTTGAGTTTGTCCTAAGTCCACTCGAAAGGCTAAACAATTTAACGTGTAGTAAAAAGTCAAACATGAGATTGACATACATTTTACAATAGAATATTATATAATATAATATATAGTGACAACGAACACACAGTCTAACTGACAGTAGTAAATGTTATGGCCCATAGACACCTACATCTATCGTCGATTAAGAACCAAATTGCAGGTACATTGCCACCCCTAAGGACTAATATGAAATGCATTGTTACCAGTGAAAAGAGTCTCGGGTTCTCTACACTCACCACACGAAACACAGCTGTAATAAGCTGTTATTTTACGCTTGTATTACTCGTACATACAGCTTGTAGTTCTCATAACCTAAACTAGCGGACGAGGCAATCACAAAGCAAACTCCATTAACGTCCATTTTCGTGTAAACCGCGGACTTATTTCTCATGAAAATGTTTATTCCCTTGGAGAGAATTACAAACTTTGTCTTTACACTTACTCCATCTTTTATTATTTTGGGATTTTTTCAATTTAAGTTATTTTGAAACGTCAACTATGAAAAAGAAGTAGATAAGAAAATATTACACTTTTTCATATTGATATGTAAAAGTATCTGAACTTCCTGAACTACAGTCGTAAGATATTGCCTACGATTGCCGATCACGTGATCCCGGATTCGAATCCAGGTTGGGTCGAAATTAGTTATTGGGTATTTCAGTCGAAAAATTC